AGAAAAATCAATGGGGCATGGTGGCACACACCTGTAGTTCCAGCTACTTGGAAGGCCGAAGTGGAAGTATCACCTGAGCCCAGCAGGTCCAGGCTGCAGTCGCTGTGAGCATGCCACTGCACTCCAACCTGACAACAGAGTGAGACTCTTACTTAAAAAAAAAAAAAAAAAATTCCAGTGTCATTTTAAACCATTACATGTTTGCATATTCTCATCTCATCTATTGCTGGAGGGGGTGAGGCTGAAGTAAAGGATTAATTCTATTTAAGACATATTAATTGAGGCTAAGTGTGGTGGCTCAAGCCTGTAATCGCAGCACTTTGGGAGGCTGAGGTGAGGGGATTGCTTGAGCCCATGGGTTCAAGAACAGCTTGGGCAACTTGGCGAGACCTCATCTCTACAAATCAAAAAATTAGCCACACATCTGTGGTTCTGGCTACTTGGAAGACTGAGGCAGAAGGATTGCCTGAGCCCAGCAAGTCAAGGCTGCGGTGGCCGTGAGCATTCCATTGCACTCCAGCCTGGGCAACAGAGACTTCAACTCAAAAGAAAAAAAGATGTATTAATTGAAAATATGCAGTATCTTCAGTCAAAACGCCCTAATGTATGATTTTAATATGAACAACTGTCAAATGTTTTCTTCCACTTTGTTGGTTTAATGCTTGTTATATGGCCTGTGCCAGCTCTTGCATGTTTCCAATATCATTTGCTCAGATACTGCTCTGAGGCCTAGATAATTGATCTGATTTTAAAATATGCCATTCTTTTTCTAGTTATTTCAGAATGTACTTTGAAACTTCTAAAAAGTTCCTCCTTGAATACATAATTTTTCTATAATGCTCTGGGATTGATACTATAGATTTACCTTTGTTTGCCAAAAACAGTCCCAGTTTATGCCAATTAGCTGATATAATTATTTATAGCATCTACTTTCAATCTAAAAAATCTCTCAGTATGGATGATAAATTGTGTAGTCACTTTCCTTATAAGTGACTCAGACATATAATTTGGTGATTCAGTAGTTAAATGTCTATTTTAAGGAATTTTAAGACGTGGCTCTTCATTACTTCCTTTTTTAGCAAAGTCTTATTTGTTGTACTTGCTTGGAACAACAAAAATTGAACAGATGATGATGTGGTGTTGGGCCATGTATGCCCTGTGATGCTCCCAGCTTTAGGGGATGTTACCTGACTCATAACAGCTTAAGGGGTAGCTCTTTTGCCAGGGGCATATGGGAGCTGGGACACAAACCTATCCTGAAAGCAGTCAACATTATAGGCTAGCCAGAAACATAAGAGGTGGCCTGCTGTGCCCAGTAGAAATGGTGGCTATTATGTGAGTCAGTTAGATTCCTTCTTTTGAGAATGTGAACTGGGTATAACAAGAGTGATGCTTTGAATAGTGGGAGAAGAAGATGAAAGTCACAAGGTTCAGAGAAGCAAGGGACATGAGGAGCCATGGGTGGATGGAGAGATGGAGCTGTGTGTGGGTAGAGTGATGGGGCCTGCAGGGCAGAGGCTGTGTAGGGTAGACCATGGGAAATCCACGTGGAAGCCTATCAGAAGATGACAGCTCTATTCCTCTACTTGCCAGTCCAGAAGGCTTGGAGTTACCTTCCTTCTCTTTTCTACACCTCTCATGGAATCCATTTGCAGGTCCTTGGTTCTACCTTAAAAGTAAATATAGCAAGAGTTTGGCCACTTTTACTGTTAAAGCTGCTATCACCTCTCACCTGGATGACTCTAGCAGCCTCCTAGCTTGTCTCGGAACACCTGTTCTTGCTGTTTCCAGTCTATTCTTACCCACAACCAGAGTGGTCTTGTTACAAAGGAAGTCACATCTCTCTGCGTTGCTCAGAACCCTGGCAGCAACTACCCATCTCACCCGGGATAGAAACCAGAGTCCTTAAAATAGCCTGTGAGACCCCATGCAGTTCTCCCACCACCTTCCTCACCCGTCTGACTGTATCTTCCACTTCTCATACTGTTCTTTCTGCTCCAGCCACACTGGTCTGTCTCTTGACCATTCTCAGGAGAGGCTTTCCCTGATTACCTCCCTCTCATCCTCTCCCACTCTACATGATACTTGCCCTCTGACATACTGTATATTTTACTTATTTGTTTCCCTGTCTTTCCCATCTCAGTAGAGTGGAAATGCCATGAGGGCAGGCATTTTTGTCTGTTTGATCTTCTCATGTCTCGCTAGTTCCTGGCACTCCATGTGCCCAGTGAATCTTGAGTGAAACAAATGGTAAGATTATAGATTTGTTTGCAACAGAATAAAAACATCTATAAGACAAAAGATACAACTAAAGTTAAAAACAAGTGACAGATTGTGATAAAATTTTTGCAACATTAATATAAAACAGTAGCAGTGTACAAGTCATTAAGAAAAATAACCAATGGAAAAGTGGACAAAGGATTTGAACAAACAATTCACAAAAGAGGAAATGCTTCAAACTTATGAAAAAACATCAGTAGCAGATCAACGTAAACCATCAACAGTGAGAAACCATTTTCCCCTATCAGACTGGCAGAAGTTAAGTTTGATCCCATTAGGGAAGTGGCAGACACTTTGGCAGCATCTGTGAAAGCTGGAAGTTCTTAGATCTCATGGCCACTCTTGCTTTTGGGAGTCTATTCCAGAGAAATGCTGTACCATTTGATAGTAGGTGTAAAATAGAAGCGACCTGTCTTCTTACTAAGTTAGGATCACCATCTACGAATCAGACCTGACACCAGGAGATATAACTGCTGGTTTGGGAATCATTAAACATGGATTTTGAAATCGCACAGGTTGGGGCTTAACACTGGAATTTAATATGGATGGAGATTGGAAAGGACAGAGCGCAGCTATAGTTTTGACATATTCAACTTAAAAGGTAACAAATTGGATTGATATTAGTTGCCTCTACAAAACAAAGTGGTTAAAAATGCATATATATTTATTCAACTATTGTTAGGCAAGAAAGAAGAGGGTGGGATGAAGTTACTGCCCTTGATGCATGTCAGCGCCTGTGGTCACTGTCAGGGTGTGACTTGTCTTGCTGTAGATGTTCATGTTTCTAACTCCCTGGTGAGACCTGGCCAAAGTCTAGCAGCTACAGGCTTCCTACAGAGCTGCTACAGGAGTTTGTGTTTACAACCAAGAGAGGAGATTGAGAGTCTAGCAGGGAGCAAGATGTAGTAGAGGGTGGGCTCTGTAGCTTGGTCTTGGACTTTGGGCAAGTTGTGTAACCCCTCTGGATGTATCCTCATCTATGAACTGGGAATGGAGAGGACATTCTCCCCATAGGGATGCTTTCAGGATTTGGATAAGTTAAGTTATATCAAACTGGGCACAAAGTAAGCACTCAATAAACGTCACCTACAATGATGATGCCTTAGGAACAAGATGTTCTCCTTTTACTTGTCACTTGTAAGTCCTTCCCATGTATAAATGGGAAGCTATATCTGAATCCAGCAATTCTACTACTAAGAAATTTTTGACTGGAGATAGGTGCCAAACAAGTGTATATGGGTATTGAGATTGGCAGGAAGAATAGAACCCACTAAAACATTTTACAGTGGAGGAACTGGTTAAAAATTATGTCCAGACTGTGAATAGTAAAAAGTGTGATAGATATCCATTTACAGTCATTGGGAAAATGTTTGTTATAAGTAAAAAACAGGTGGTTATAAAATAGCATGTAAAATATCCAATTTCGTGTGTGTGTGTGTGTGTGTGTGTGTGTGTCTCTCTCTGTATGTGTAAAGAGAATATATATAATATGTATGACAAAAATATGGAAAATATACAGCAAAATGTCATCAGTGGTTATCACTGGTAATAGGATTAAGGTGTTTTCTTTTTTCCTTATTACTGTTTACTGATTTTCGATAATGAACATGTATTATAAACATAGTAAGACTACAAAAAAAGAACATTTTGGTGCAACACAGAAATTATTATAGGTATAAAATTGAACTTATATGAGAATTTGGCCCTTGGATATGTTTTTTTTTTTTTTTTTTGGCTTCTAAATTTGCCCTCTGCTTTTAGCCTGTGACCTCATAACATGCCATAGAGATTACGATCTCTTAGTTATTCTCTTGGAAAATGTGCTATTATCTCACTGTAAGAGGACCAGGGTTTTAAATGATTCCATTCTAAGAAAGTATAGACGGCCTTCTCTCTCTGTGGATTCCATATCCCACGATTGAACCAACTGAGGATTGAAAATATCAGAGTGGGGGGAGGAAGGTTGTGTCTATGCTTGAATATGTACAACCCCCCCCCTTTCTTTTTTCTTTTTCTTTTTCTTTTTTTTTTTTTTGAGTTGGGTCTCACTCGGACCAGGCTGGAATGCAGTGGCATAATCACTGCTTACCATCGCCTTCACCCCCTGGGCTCAGGTGATCCTCCCACCTCAACCTCCTGAATAGCTGGGACTACAGGTACGTACCACCACACCCAGCTAATTTTTAAATTTTTTTTTTGTGGAGATGAGGTCTCACTATGTTACCTAGGCTAGTCTCAAATTCCTGGGCTCGAGCTGTCCTCCCACCTCTGCCTCTCAAAGTGCTGGGATTACAAGCATGATCCACCATGGCCCAGACTTTGTTTTCTTGTCATCATTCTCTAAATAATATATCATAACAGCTGCCTACATAGCATGCACATTGTATTAGATATTATAAGTAATTTAGAGACAATTTAAAGTATATAGGTAGATGTGTGTAGGTTATATGCAAATGCTACACCATTTTACATTAGGGATTTTAGCATTTGTGGATTTTGGTGTTGGTAGGAGGGGTCCTAGCAGCAATCCCCTGAGGTTACTGGAAAGCGAAGAGAAAAACAGCAGCAGGCTCTATCTGTGACTTTGGCTATGTCTGAGAAAAGACTAGTTTGAATACTGAGTAAGACTGCTTTCAGGGATGCAGTTGGTTAATGCATTTGGAAGGTGTTTGAGCTTGACTTCAGGAACTGGGTGGTGGCTGTTCCTGGGAGTGCCCCTTCTTTGGAGGCTGGAGGCTGATTGGCCCAGGCTTGCGGCCAGCCATTGCCTGTTTGTTCAGGAAGCAGCTATGAGCTGTCCTAGTGGTTGGACAACCCTGCAGGTATCCCTGACCCCATCCAGTCATACCTCACAGGAGAACTTGACTCGGAGTTAGTTATAGCTCTCTTTGAAGATCAGACGGACCTGTACGGGAAGAAGATGGTCCTTAGAACCAAAGAGGAAGATGGTGAGTTACAGCCACAAACCCAGGTCGAGACAGAGGTGACTTGTGGCATATGGAATAGCGTTGTAGGTGTCTCTTTTGATTATTATGTGAAATCCTGTGAGGACAGTGTTACTGAGTCCTTTGGTGGAGGAGTTAAGGAACAATGTAGACGGGGCAGTGGGTCACCTCCACCATCTCCAAAGGGCAAGAGGGATTATTGTGAAATATGTGATAGATTTGTCAGAAGTGTCTTACATGTTCTAGAAAATATGGAGAGAGAGAGAGAGAAAGAGAGAGGGAGGGAATGAGGGAGGGAACTCTGTGTTTTTTAAACTAAAGAGATCCCTCCAATCTTTGCTTTTATTATAGTGAGTGTTTCTTGGTGGATTACTGCTTCATGCTTGGTGATTATGTCTTTACTTCCTATATCTGAATAACAGTTGGTTAGTACTTCTGGGAATTGCATGAATACTCAGAAAAAAATCTGATATTAAAAGGTAAAGAGGCCAGATTGAAAGCACTAGTAAGATTGGGGATAGAGAATACTTGTTGTTTATTAAGTAAAATATAACCAAGGGAAAAGACACAATTAATTTCGTCTTCCTCTTTGGTATTAGGTGAAGACTGTTTGAAGTCTTATAAATCTATAGAATTTCCCTCATCTGCTCCACACCCATACTGTAAACAGTGAAGCTTGTATGACTAATGAGATGACAAACTTTGTGGCTTCTAAATCTCAAAAGATTCTGCTGAAGAACTGTGTCTTAAAGCACCCTAGGTCAGTAAAGGAGTTTTGTGTGTGGATGTGTGTGTGTGTGTGTTTTATTGTGGTGCCTTCATCAGATGGCAGTGTAAAATGTATACTGGTTTCTAGCTAGTAATGAGTGATATGAATAAGTTTGAAATAGATATTAGGCCATTTTTTTTTTTTTTGAGTTGGAGTCTCGCTCTGTCACCCAGGCTGGAGTGCCATGGCACACTCACAGCCACCGCAGCATCGACCTGCTGGGCTCCGGCGATCCTTCTGCCTCAGTGGACTACCACACCCAGCTAATTTTTTGATTTATTGTAGAGACATGGTCTCATCAAATTGCCCGGGCTGGTCTCGAACCCACGGGTTCAGGCAATTCACTCACCTTGGCCTCCCAAAGTGCTAGGATTACAGACTGAGCCACCGAGCCTGGCTGAGGCTATGTTTCAAAGTGAGTTTTGTGAAAGTTACGATAAGTTTTGAGAGTCCTTTTTATGCTTTTCCCTTTCTGGTTCACTATAAAACACATATTTTAAAGTCTTGCTTCCAGGTGCAGATGATCCTGGACAGTGTCTGTGGGGTGATCTGGAAAGCTATACCATGTGTGAAAGACTTTGAGAGAGAAGGACATATAGGTGTTTATGATGACACTTTTGCATTTGAGGAGGTGGACCGTAATGAAGGTCTGTTCCAGACCAGGACTGAACTGCATACTTGGGTGGGTGTTTTTGTGTTTGGAAGATGAGTCCACACTAGCCAAGGTCTCTAGTTCCAAAGGGAACACTTTTGATAGTGGAAAAGGACACACGCGATTATGCTGGGACAGTAGGTGTGAGCCAGGTCTGGCTGTGGTTTTTGCTGTTGGTCCTTCCAGGTGACCCTATCTTCAGACCCACCTGGGAGGTGCTGTTTAATAGTTAGAGGGGTCATATGTACTTGGCCTCTGGCCATCCAAGAGGCTTTAAAATTCAACATAAGCTTCCTGTATGTGTGTGCTTTAATTCAACAATGGAGTGATAAGGGTTGGGCTTAATTTTAAGTACAGGGATTTTAGAGATTGAATTACTTAGCAACTTTGCTTTGAACAAATAACCTTAAAGGACTGGTGCTTCTCCATTTCCCTCACCCCCTCCTGGGGGTGTTTCCTCATGTTGTCTATTTGGCACAGTAGGGAGGGCAGTGTTGCCCTTCTAACCACTGCTAAGATAGATGCTCTGAGATACTGCTATGAGAGACAGAATGGCATTTAGACAGTTACGGAAGTGAAGGGAACAAATGAAGTTTCCTTTGGCAGGTCCCCAAGATCCCAGGGGAGGGCAGAAGTTAAGTGTCTGTTACACTTTTCAGAGAGCTACTTTTACTAGACTTAACTGCCCTGAAGAGCTCACCTAAGAAAGGGTAGCTAGGGGGTTTTGAAAATATTATTTAGAGAAGTCAGACCCCTTCCTGCTGCACTAATCTCAAACCCCCGATTTATAAGTTACAGATGTTGCTTTCTACCTCCATCCTTACCTGGCACATATGTTCATTAATTTTCCTTCCAGTATTTATGTATGTATGTATGTATGTATGTGTGTGTGTGTGTGTGCGTAACTGAGAATTAACCAATGTAATTAATTTGGCACTGTTTTCTTAACTGCCATAAATTGGTTTTTTAACTATTTAATCTTTCTTTGTAATGGTTAGCTCCCCTTGATTTGTTTTTGAACCCCTTCTTTGGGATGCAATCTAAACTCCTTGTGTGGGCCCTGAGGGTCTTTACAAGCACTAAGTCCTCTTCCTGGTGTCAGTCCAGGACTGCTGTGCCCTGGGCCCTGACCTGCAGTGTGTCCACTGACTCCAGCACCCAGTCACTACCTGGCACTTTGTTTAGTATGCGCCATTCTGTCTGCCTCTCCATTTGGGGATTCTGTTGATCCTTCAAGTCCTAGCTCAAAGGCTGGTCCCTCTGAAGCCTCTTGGTGTCCTCTGACGTTCTGTGAGTACGTGATGTGCTCAACCACAGTGGCCGGGTATCCTGCTGCCATGCTTATTTGCCTCTCTCCACTGGCCTTCACTTTCCACACAGGGCAGGGAACTGGAGCTATTTAAATCCCAGCTCCAAGCACAGACTGCGCCTATGGCAGATGCTCAGTAAATGCTGAGGTGAAGTGAATCTGTGTATTTCCGTAAGAGAAAAGAAAGAGCCAAGGATGCAGCCAGTGACCCTGAGTGTGAATTGGGCTCTGTCTTTTAGTAGCTTACCTTGGGTAGATTATTTGAACTCATTGAGTCTTTTGCATTATCTGTGAGGAAATACACAGAGTTTATAATTGGGCTTTGTTGATCCCACCTCCCGAAAAAAATGGAAATGGGAAAATGTTTTAAGCTGTAAGATACCATGTAGGTATAAAGTATTATTTATAGGAAAGTATGCCAATAGAATTAAGTATAGTGCCCTTCCAGTGGGACATTGGATTTTCAGATTGCATCTGAAACGCTCTCCTTGATGTGAACTTTCTACTTATTCCATTCTTTTAATGCATTTCATGTAATTGTGCTCTCCTCTGGTTTGATACGTTGCTTAGGTTGAGGTATTGGCAGGAAGACCTAAGGTGTGATTCCTATAAATTAATATCCCTCTAGACATTTCTCATTCTCTTCTTACAGATTGAGTTCATATTTCACAGAATCAAAAATGGTTACATCTTTATTTTTAAGCAAGAGCATGTTTGGCATTGTACAAAGCACACATCATAGCAAGAAACCTGTATCGCCATCTGCTGTGACAAGTTCTGAAGGGGACTTGCTCTGGTTTGAATTTTATAGGCTTCCCCGTTGAGTACACCAGAGATAAATCCTCATGGTGTTGTAGAGGATTAGAACTGCCCTTTCTTCTTAATGAGGTGAACAGAAACAAGGACTTGGATTCTACTCCTCTGGAAAAAAAAAATTGACCTTTATCCATTGTCTGAGGCTTTCTGTAGCCTCCCAAGTTTTCTTAGTTACGGAATATAAAAGCACAGGACTTGCTGAGGGCATGGTCAGGACCTAAAGTCCAGTTAGATACTAGGGATGTGGAAGGCATCAGGTGGAATTTTCTAAGCCAGTAGTATTTGTGGAGAGAAGAGGCAGTAATGTACATCTTGGCAGGCACACATCTGGGCCTTAAGAGCCTTGTGGTTCAGAAAAGTTTGGTGGAATGTGTTTGTTGTGACTGGGGACTGACAGAACCTACATACAATTTACTGCTGATTAAATTAGTGATTGAGTGCTAGACCTTCTGGAACTTTTTTTTATAGTACTCATCTCTTATTTTTCCCTTGGATTTTGACAACCCTCCAAAGACAACTTTATTGAATGTACAGTTTCTTGTCTATGCTCTTCTGTTTTCAACCCACCTGCGACTTGCTTTTTAGAAAGTGACTGTTGTAACTGCTGCCCTCTTCTGTTTACCTTCTGAAGAACTTCAACTTGGGGATTCATCTGGGTTCATCTTGCAGCTGGAGCCATGAAACAATTAACGATGACAGAGTCACTGAAAGCAGTGTAGTCACAAACTTTTAAACCATGAAGTGTTTTAGAAGTTATCTATTCCAGCCCTGTTCAGTTCTGCAAATAAAAGTTGTTTGTTACTGTGGCTTCCTGGAGTGACTGAGCCCAAATCAACCAGGAATTTAAGTTTAAACAGCCACTTTTGAGATATGATGATCTCATGTCTTCATGTGTTTCTATTTATCTTTTTTTTTTTTTTTTTTTTGACTGCATGATGTGTTTGATTCTGTAGACCCTGGTAATACACTAGGGGAAAAAAGTCGAGTCCTGCTGCCCCTACAGATCAGCTTGTATGTGTGAGGACTTGCCCAAGCATGTTCCTTTCTTCCTTAAGAAAATATTTTCTTGTTCTCCCTTCCTCTACACAGGAATCATAGAAATTCAACTTCTGACCTAAAAAACATCCAGTGAATTTCTTTTCTGAGTCAGTGGCTGTTTCTGAATCTCCTTCCCTCCTGATATCTAAAGTCTTTTCTTTGTATTTTCTTTGAAGAGTCAGAATTCTGAGTCAGAGAATTCAGATGAAAGATCACATATGAAATCACAGCAGATTGGGTGTAGTTACAACAGGTATTTCTAGGATGTTAGAACAGGTCTCAAGGAGGTTTCTTCCACAAAAGAAATACTTAGGCATCAGTCTGAGCAAATGTCAGTGGCTGGTGGCATTTTCATATTTTCTTTGAATAGAAACTTCACTATTAAATTTTGTGTTAGTTGTGGATCCAGATATTCAGAT